AGAGAGAGAGAGAGAGAGAGAGAGAGAGAGAGAGAGAGAGAGAGAGAGAGAAGCGTTAGGTATGCATCAGTCTAAAGTTAGATAATAAGTTACTCACCCCGAGGGCACATCGGTGTTCTCCTTCGAGCCATCGTCCTCTTGAATGCGTGAAGGGGGAGATGAGCTGCTCATAGGATTCTCCATTACTGTTACAAAAGGAGAAATGAGAGGCAATTGTCACATTAGAGTCTCTGGAGATTCTCCATCATCCAAGCCATGAATGTGAACCGTATTTTTTGAAGTATAAGATGCACCTTTCCCCCCTAAAGAGGGTGCGTCTTATACACCGAATACAGATATTTTTGGACTCCTGAACCCCCGTCCCACATCCCATTTTTGCACACAAAAAAAAACGGGTGAAAAACGGGCCGTTTTTCGCAAAAACGGAGGCATTTTTTGCCTTCCCCCAGCCCTGCTGAAGTCTGCCGAGTGCTCCTGGGGGCCGGGGAGGACAAAACCTTTTTTTTCCCCCTTACTTACCTCTTCGAAATCTTGGTGTGTCTTATACACCGGTGCGTCTTATGGTCTGAAAAATACGGTACTTTTCCAAAAGACTTCCTTGGTTTTTTTCCCCCTTGCAAATGTTTCACTTCGCTTCCAAGAAGCTTCTTCAGTTCAGAACTGAAGAAGTTTCCTGGATGAGAAGCGAAACATTTTCAAGTCCGACGGCCTACAGAGCATGTTCGTAGAGTCACCGGCAGGATTATATCCCGCTTTTAAGTCTTCACACCTAATTTCAACATCATTTACTTCTGGGAAGGATGAAGCTCAGGGCTCCAGTCTCAGCTTTGATGCCTGAGGGATTCTGGGAGTTGAAGTCCACAGGACTTAAAAGTTGCCAAGGTTGGAGACCCGTTTTAGGGGGGCCATCCAATACAGGGAATCCTCGACATATAACCACATCGGATCCCAAGATTTCCGCTGCTAAGGGAAGCATTTGTTCAGTGAATTTTGCCCCATTTGACCACCTTTCTCGCCACAGCGGGTGAAAATCTGGGTGAGTCTTATACACTGAATACAGCATTTTTGGCCTCCTGAAACCTCACCCCCTTTGCAAAAATTGACGTGCAGCGGGTTTGGTAGGCTTGCAAAGTGCTCCTGGGGGGCTGGGGAGGGCAAAAACGAGCAAAAAACGGGCCATTTGTGCTTGTTTCTTCCCCCCCCCCCAAAACACTCTATCAGCTTCCTAAAGACTATTCGCTCCCTTTTTTTCCTTAAAAAAACGGCCTGTTTTGGGGAAAAACAGGCCATTTTTTTGCTCTCCCCCCTGCCCCAGGAGTACTCTATAAGCCTCCCAAAGGCAAAAGCCTTCTTTTGCAAAAAAAAAAAACAAGGCGTGCAGAGGGTTTGGGAGTGGAAAAACTTTTTCTTTTAATGTACCTCTTCAAAATCATGGCGCGTCTTATACTCCGGCGCGTCTTATAGTACCGAAAAATACGGTAGATATATTCGTAAGAAGATAACGATGAAGATTAAGGGTTAACAGAAAAATGTTAACCGCGCCTATAAGAATGTATATTTGTGAATGAATTGGAAAGGGGAAAAAAAATTTAAAAAAAAATTTCACCCAACAACAACAACAACAACAACAGCAGCATCTGCCTGGGATGCAAGGGGGGGATTAGTGCCTTTCTACGCCCACCTCCAAGAGAAGCAACCTCGGTGCTTCTACGCTGGTTTCAGCCTTGCTTTAGTTCCTGAGAGTCAGAAGGATGGGGGGGGAGGGGAAAGGCATAATAAAATCCTTATGCTTTTGTTTTGTTTCCTTGTTGTTTTTCCCCGATTTTATGAATGCCGCTTTGAAAGAAATTTGGCAAAGGGCTCTCTCTTTTTTTCTCCCCCTTATCTTGAATACAATGCTAGGTTTGCTAATGAACAGGACAGCAGAATGTATTGATAGTCCAGTTGTCAAAACAGACCAGCGCTTTATAGCTTTTAAAATCAAACCTTCCAGATTACGCTTTTTGCATTTCCCTGGCTGGTTTTCAGCCAGGCTGTTTTCTTTCATAACGTAACACCTATCCTCCGCGAGCTGCACTGGCTGCCTATTGGTCTCCGGATACGCTTCAAGG